AATATTAATATTGCGTAAATAAAAATGGCTTTGGTTCAATCTTTCATATATTTACTATTTTAAAATAACGCCTTTCCATTTTTGGATACAACTCCTTTTCAAACAGGGCGGTAGTACGAATGTGAGTGGGGGGGGGGGGGTCCCCACCCCACTTTTTGGGAGAATAGTCTTGTTATAGTTTAAATATAAAAAAAATCATTAATTGATTGCTTGGTCCCTTAACATTTTGTTGCAGTATGGTTAAACTCGGGCAAGTCATTGCATTTAAAAAAAAGTTTTACCAAAAAATTAGAAAAAGTTTCCCCTCAAGTTTAGGCAGTTTATTTTTTTTCGGGGGGGGGGGGGAGGGATTCTTGTTTTTTTTTTGTTTGCTTGTCAAATTTCTGGGAACCCCCCCCCCCCACTTTAAAAGCACGGGCCTGTCAAAAACATAATAATGGCCCTTCAAAAGGCATAATAACGCCTTTTTGAAAGGCGTATTAATGCCTTTTAAAAGGGCGTAATAACGCCTTTTGGAAAGGCATAATAACGCGTTTTAGAAAGGCGTAATAACGCCTTTTGGAAAGGCGTAATAACGCCTTTTAGAAAGGCGTTATAACGCCTTTTAGAAAGGCGTAATAACGCCTTTTGGAAAGGCGTAATAACGCCTTTTAGAAAGGCGTTATAACGCCTTTTGGAAAGGCGTAATTACGCCTTTATTTGCGTTATTACGCCTTTTTTCGCGTTATAACGCCTTTTGAAAAGGCGTTATAACGCCTTTTAAATTTTTTTTTTACCGTAGTTTGATCCTAATAGGCTTTCGTACAAATGCTCTAGCTGGAAAATCTGAAAATAAAGGTGATGGAGAATTGCAGATGCAAAAATGCACGACAACACGCCTCAACAGGCTCATACGTATCATTAGCATGAATGATAGTCCGTGGACCGGATGTCCAAGTGTTACTGCACTGCGCTAGGTTTGAGAAAATTCGACTTCGTCATCTGAAAAACGGACATTTAAAAATGGCAAAGAATATTTTTTTTCGCTCAGATCTCGAGATTGATGAACCTATTGCATCGTGGAAATCAAGCTGCAATTGTTGTGCATGACAGTCTTCCACGCTATATTTGAATGGCTAGGAAGGGGGGTGTTTTAACAGTAATGTGTTACTTTCTAAATTTAAAAGATAATCATTTAACATTGTTATCAAATCTCTGATGTTTTTAAATCGAGTTTAACTCAACTGTAATCAGTTTTGAAAATCATTAGTTAAAAGGTTCTTGTACCATAGGACTGGCGGTAAATTTAGATTTTGCTTTGATGTTGCTGTGGTGTATTTGCCAGAAGAATCACAGTTTTTTAAAGTCACGCCCACCTTTTGGCATCAAGCTATACTGTGACAAGACCTTGACTGATGAATGAATGATGTCAATTTCCAGACCTGGCTGATGAATGAAATGTCAACATTTTTAATTTAAAAAATGCTAACATTAGCTTGTCGATGTTCGCTTTACAAATGTTTCTGTATGTTTTCTCCGCGTATCCTTAATCAGTAAATGATACGTCCTATCTCGAGTTCTCGTCATTCTCTTTCCCGTCTCCAAATACAAATAGCAATTTCGCATCAGAAGTCCCCGCGTTTTTTTTTACTTCCAATACCATTTCAAACTTTCATTAAAATGTCACAAATCATTTCATTTTTCTTATGTACGCCGATTGCCATATAGAAAAAGTTCAATGGCGATGTTTCCCATACCCATCCCCCCTTTTTTCAAAAAAAAAAAAAAAAAAAAGATCTAGAGAGATAATTTTTTTTTCAGACTTCACGGCTTGAAAAGCATTATAAAAGCATCAATCGCTACCCCTGTACCTGACAAAAATCATGTTTTCTGCGTCTTCAACATTCCAAAGGTACAATATCTTCACACGTACCAATTCCGAATTTTTTATCAACAATTTGCAGTAGCAGTGACGCAGCTAAGTATGATCCTTGCAGATGGAGACAGCTATTTATACAGACTCCGGACCGTGGCTTGACACCTCGTAGTAGGCGGTGCTAATTATCAACTTGCTTTTCTCTCATTGGTCCTCTGGTACAAGTAACTTACACAATAGATATTAATTGGTTAGCGGTAAATACACTCACAGTTTTTATTCACTCGGGGCTCCGCCCCTCGTGAATGAAAAACTGTGAGTGTATTTACTGCTAACCAATTAATATCTATAGTGTAACTATAACAAATATTTGTAGATTACTGCTTGTTGCGTTTCTTTTGCGTTTCAGTATATATGCTAAGGTAAGTGCGCCATACTTTATTTACAATGCTAGCGTACTCCTAAACTAACGTCATAATTTAACTTCAACGTAAGAAATATGACGTCATATTTAGACCAGTACCTATGTAAAAATAGTGACATATAATATTTGTGTCAAAATACAGATATTATTGTGTTAAATTACACGTAAGGTATATGGTTAATAAAAGAAAAAGTAGAACATTTATTGCAAAACGACATTTTTGTCGGTTTGGCGTTGACACAATAAACGACATTTATGTCGCTTTGGCGTCGAAAGGGTTAACTGTGCTGCGTACCTTAAAAATATATTCTGTGTAGATCACCGTCTTTTTACTGCACATATATAATTATGTACATGTCAGTCAGCCTTGCACTGTTTTCTGGTCGTAAAAATAATTAGAAAAGTGTTATTATTAGACATAAAGTTAACAAGTTATGTAATGGTTTTTTTTTTTTTTTTTTTGGATAAAGAAATGGGAGATCACTCTCTTAACATTTTCACTTGTAAAAAAATAGACAAATAAACAAACTTGGTGTTTGATTCGAGTAAGATTTCGCCTTTTTCTGATCAGAAAATTTTACATTAGTAATCATATTTATTTGGATGTCTTATATAGATCGAGATTGGGTAGTAGATCGGTTAATGTGAACCTAATATTTCTGGGAATCAAAGAGTTGGAATAGCTTGGATCTGTTCACTCTTCCAGAAATTACTAATGCAAGATCTGAAGCAGCACTGGCATAGTATACATCTGTAGATTTAACCAGTTTAATGTACAGGATTTGTCTAAACAGAACTAAAGATACTTAAGAAATGAATTTAATTTTTGAGAATTCATGAGGACATGAACTACGACGCTTCACGTCGGCATATTTCATGAAGCGCGTTAGCACCTAAACGTTTTTCTCGACTTGACGGAAAAGGCCGAGTGATGTTCCGATTGAGAATATGATAGGTGGTGTCCTGTAGATTTGTAATGAGGTTTTTGAAATTTTCAGTTTTGTCCTAGATGCCAAACGAGGATCAAAACTGATGTTTTTTTCTACATAAAACTTGGTTCCCAGAACTCCTCTTACATATTTGGCAGTAGCCTAATCATCTTTGGGAAGATGGTTGATGGTATTTTGGCTGACGTGGTTCATACTACCTGTTCGGCCTTTGTTTTGGTACTTGACTACAGAGTGTTCTATCTACCTGATCAATACATATGACTCACGGCGGGTGTTACCGGTCAACAGTCTTACTCTTCCTAGGCACCTGACCCCAAGATCTTGAAACATACTAAGACTTAAGGTAGTATGGGATACCTCCACATTATGACGTATTTCCGTTTGAAGTATTGTTTTGATTTGCATGAGTGCTTATTATCGGATCAAAATTTGTAGATACACCGTTGAAAAGAACACTCTGAAGCCTGTTTCAATGCCAGTTCTCACAAGTCGGCATTTTAAGTAAAAATTGACAAAAAAATCGCAAGTATATAAATTTACTTATAATTGTACAACGGACATTTAAAAAGCAAACCCCTGTAAAAGGTAGTTTCAACATTGCTGCTTTTGAACACTTTTAAGCAAAAGCTGCATTTCAATTGTTTGAATAACTGTACAGCACCTTGTGTGCGGTGAGGCATGGATAAGTGCGATTACTTCATATAGTGCTGAATTATCACCAATCGATTATCACGTTAACCAGAGCTGAACTTCTTTGTCATTTAATTCAAGAAGTAACTGTTTGGTCACAAATCAGCTAGCTGTTGTATATCGTCCCAAAACGTTTAGATGAATGCAATTGCTCTGAGCAAGACACGTCCTCTAAAGCGATTGTCCATGCATTGTTTTCAAAACAGTTCAAAGTTGAAAACTACAAAGTACGATTTTTTTATGGTTGGGAAAAAATGCTCATCATTTCTGAAATAGCACCCAGGTTTTTTCAACCCTTGGAAAATAAAGAAGGATAACTCTTCCGATCGGATCTTTTAATTCAAAAAGTTTTAAATGCATTTTATATTTTCCATTTATATATATTTTTTCAATTTGTTTATTTCACTTTGCTAACATACTAAGATACATTCTAATTGTAGACTTTCATAAAATGTTATCCGTCTGTTTTCAAGAAATAAAGTTTTCCCAGTTTTTAAAGCTAATTTTTTGTTGAAAATTAAAGAAATACTAAGACATATTTCTTGTCATTTTTGTTTTTATATACTTTTTATATAAGTAAACGTCTGCCTATAATATTAAGCTTATGAAAAAAGAATTATACAAGAAAAAAATCATTTTTGTATTTCTCATTAAAATAATAAAAAAAAATTATTAAAATTACAACTTAACATACTGAAAGGTGTGGGGTATTTCAAATCCTCCAAATTTGGGTATATAAATATGTAGGAGAAGTTTCGTTTGGTATCCCATACCACCTTAAGTCAAATTTTCAATTGCCTGTAAAATGTTTATCAATTATTGAATTAATCTCTAAATTTTTGTAAAGCAATATTAAAAAATATTTTCATTCTGGACTGCTTGACTTCTGCAACATTTTAATACAACCTAAAATTTTTGACTTCAGCTTCAGATGTTTCATGATCCCGGGGCCTGATCTCACCTCTGGAATTTCCGTGAGTCCGTGTTTTTGCAGTGTCCACAGATTTGTATTATTTGTAGATTTTATGAGATCGATCAATGTTGGTTATCCTCACCTTTTTCGTTCTATTTTAAAGGGAGAATGGACGCAACACAAGGAAAAGGTAACATGAGTAAAAAGACTTTAAATGCTAAAGACATGCTGACAAGTACAACTAAAAATAGGGTTCAGCCATCCAATACTATCCAGGACCCTGACGAGGAATATATAAAAGACTCACATACATCAGCAAACATCATCTCAAACAAGAAGGCACTCGGCGAACAGAATGAAATACTCGTGTTAATGAAGGTCTTCCTCCTCCTCTCTCTCTCTCCCTCTCTCTCTCTCTCTCGTGTAAAGGCTTCCTGTAAAAATAAAATTAAGTAAAAAGAGATAGGTTTGAGTTTATTCACGGCCAAAAGCAAAATAAGATCTGACAAGCAGTAAGCAGAGAAGAACCATAAAAGAAAATTCATTCAAAAGCTATCTAAAGTAGCAAAAACTCATTAAAATTATCTATTAAGAGATGATGATAATTTAAAGATAAATATTTTAAGTTGTTTGTAAAAACAATTTTTCTTTCGATTGTAATATTTTTTTTTACAGAAAATTGACCATAGTGTCAAAAGATTAGATTGTCAGCAAAGGAACTTAAAGGCTCAAATCAAAATTATTCGCAGAAATCAACAACATATTCTTGGGCAGATTAAAATCATATTGAATTAGAAGACACGGTCTCTTCCAAAACAACATCTACCAAAGACGACATTACCTGGTACATTTTTTTGCATTTATCATAGAAAGAAAATAAATATAAATCAATATACATGTACATTACTTTGTTTTGTGTAAAGATAATTAAGATATATCGTTGCTGAATCTTTAAAGGGTTGTAACATTTCGTTGACCCAAAATCAGACCATGACCCAAATTTGAAGTTAACAGAGACTTCATGTAATAGACTTTGCCAGATTTATTTTGTGAAAGAAAATCAAAGAATGCACACTGACCTATTGTGAGAAAAATTCACAAACTCGAAAAAAAAAAATCCTCTAATTTAATGCCATTGCTCGAAAATTGCCAGAAAATCTCTTTCTCCTAGGCGAAGTCTTTACTTTCAAAGTAATGTACAAGATTAAGATAACGAAAGTGATCAACCTTATAAATCCAGTAATAGGAATCGTGAACAGACCAAAATCACGAATCCTCGGAAACACCAGAGGTGGGATCAGGTGCCAAGGAGGAGTAAGAAAATAATTTTGAAATAATATTCAGGAATATTTGTTATATCTTTAGGTCACTTCTATTCATTTCAATATATGCTGTGTTCCCTTTAACATTTGATTAAATAAAACTAATTCAAATAATGAATTGCAAAATGAATCACAGCTGTAGTTCACTCAAGATTAGGTTTTTTACAAAAATTGCTTTAAAATGGAAACGTAAATGGCGGTGACAACATACATGTAGGTGTGAAATTTTTGATGCAAAGACATGGATCCGATAGAATTACACCTCTCTAAAAAAAAAAAGTATAATAATTGTATTACAATTTTTAGGATCTTCTGTGGATGAGTGCATTCATAGTGAAGTACTGCAGGAAAATATTCGAATGTTAGTAAGAGACATGGACCTGTCGAATGGATTGATAACTGATGAAATTCTACAGATTGGATGTCTAACTGAGGATGAAGTCCACGAAATGAAGAATTTGAGTAAACAGGACCAAATAAGAAAATTAACATCAGTTTTGGGGAGAAATAACAAAAGTAAATTTTTTAAATTTCTTGAAGTAATTTCAAAACAAGAATTCTACCCACATGTTGAGAAGCTTCTAAAGGAATCATACGAAAAAAAGTTAAAGGAAAACGAAAAGCATTATGATACTAAATGCATCCGCTGCTTTCTCGTTCAAAAGGTAGAAATCAAGCGGATTATGGATTTTCTTTGTGAGCACCAGTTCATAGGGCTGCCTGATATTGAAGATGCTATAAAAGGTGACAGAACAAATGCAGACAATTTTTGGGGGCACGTTTTTCAGAAAATTTTTGATCCTATAAATGGGGAGAGTTATTGTTCAGTATTTAAAGAAGCTCTCCAAGACCATTATCCTCATATTGCAAGAAAAATCCATTGCCAGAATCATTTGAAATGTTGTTGTCGCTCTGACCTATCCAAGTCCTATCCAAGTGGAAGCATTGGCGATTCTTCAGAGATAAGCACAACTACGACAATAATTCCAAACACTAAACCAGAGACCTGTCTCTGGGTGGAGAAGACTTGCAGTTTACATGATAATCTTAAGGAAATTCAGGAAGAAAAAAGTGAATATTTACGCAGTCAACAAGATGGAAACTTTACACAAACCAAGGTTTCAATGCCCTTTCCATCAACTGAATTTGGCACAAGCTTAGAATCCGTAAGGTTTAACACTGGGAATTTAAATGCCACAGCAGATCATCACAAAAAATCATTTATACAAGGAAAGAGAACTTCCTCTAAATTTAAATGGAATAGAAGTAGCTCAGGGCGAAGACATCTTAATTACTCGGTAAAAGGACGAATGAATAAAAGCAGATATAAATGGGTAAATTCAAATACAAGTTCTGAAAATAAGCCATTTGATAACAGATCGGAAAATTGAAAGCGAAGTTACAATAACGCATTTGTAGCGAGCGAAGCAGATCCAATGAACATAATTCCTTCAACAACAGCAAATTTTGAGGATGTAAATTTGGGCAATATAGGTGACAACCAATTTCGATTACCTGAATATACCCCGGATAAGAGTCAAGAAACTGTAATTAATGACGGTTCATTAATCGTTTCCGAAAATAAAGAAAGATATAAATCAGTCAAGAAGCCAATACTACCAAGATCAGCTTTTACATATGTAAGAGAAAGAACAGGTAGTAAAACAAACAGACAGTTGTCAAATATCAATCAACAAAAAAAGTATTCTCCGTATAACCACAATGGCAGACCAAGCATCATATCAAATGACATTAGAGTTACAGTAAATAGAGAAATGGGACAGAATTCCAGCACGGGAAGTCCCAAAAAAAGAAGGGTTAATTACAAAACAGATACTAATGGTACCCTTGACAACAGAGTGATAAAGAAATCAACGCCCAGAAAGGAACTTACACTGCCCTTTAAGAGGTATGAAGAAAAAGAATCTCATCAGGGAAGGCGTGAATGAATGTCATCAATTGTTGCGGTTAGAAAGTCTGCTTAGCCATACTCCTGTACACTCTGGTTTCCACATCATTTCGTGAAAAGGCGAGAGCATAAAATTTATATTTAAAACCAAACTCGATTTTACACATGGGGACGATAGTTTATGATACATTCAGCGAAAACGTATTTTCCCGAACTGTTGAAAACAAGACATTCAGACTTTGCGTATTTTATTTTTCTTCTTTCGAGTGGATGAAGTATTTATCTGTATAGTTTCATGTATTTTATGATTACAGTAATGGAACAAGTGAAATTGATGCTAAGCATCAAATCGTCCGCAAAATTGTGCAGCATTTTGAAATATATGTGTATTTCCATATGAAAGAGCCCAAAGAAAATTTCAAAGTAAAAGAAAAAGTATATGATAGTTTTTCTTGTAAAACTAAACAATTAGTTCACTCTTCTGGGCATTTCTTAATGTTTCAATGATTTCTTACAAAGAGGACATACAAGATTTTCATGTGCTGAAACCTGGATCTTTGTCATATGATTTTCGTCTTGGTACACATGTAACAAATTGTATCATTTGCAACTTTAGTTTATTCTAAACTAGATCTACTTCTAAAAACTTTTCACATTTATTGATTATTTTTGTACTGTAATTAATATTCGGAAACTCATTACGATTTGTGTTTGTTGTATTTTGCACCCTCCCATGTTGGGGAGCCGTAAGTAGGGCTAAGGTGGACCCCGATCCCGTGTCTCATTTAGGTGTTCACATGAAATGAGCCCGGAGTCTGTAAATTGTATTATATCAAGTAGTTGTCAATGAGTAGAAGCTTTGTGTAGAACAAAATTAAATACTGAATCATATAAGATCTAGTTTCCAAGGACTTCATAGATATATAGATATTGTCAATGAGGAATTCAAGCATGTTTTTTACATCAGCTTGAAAGTACTTTTGTTTATTTGACAGAGTACTTTTGAAGATGACCAATTACTCAGTACAAGATAGGAAAATTTTCGACTTTCATTTTTATGGAGGAAGCAGTTGTCTATGATGTCAAAAAAGCCTGCTCTTTGATTTGTTATGAGGAATAGTTATGCATGTATAAAGCGTAGAAAAGTCATGTTTGATTCTGTTTATTTCGAAGTTTTGAGATTTTAATTTTTTAAAAAGTTCTTTCGAATTGTTCAACAATCAACATTTGATTTACACTTCTTGAATATGATCATAATACATTGTACGGCTTAAGTTTCTCCTTCGCAGAATTTGTTATTAAGTGAGGAGTAATGATAAGGGCTTGGTGAACATTTTCTGAACCCTGTTTATTTGTAACGATTTTTAAGAAAGTTTGGAATCCAGTACAGGTACGGTAAATCAGTCTCATTTTCACTGACTGAAATGTTAAAAGTATTTAAGAAGAATTTCATCTTTTGAAATGAACTGTGAGTATTGGTAGGATTTCCAGATGTGGAATTAAAACCAATTTCTTCTAAAATACAGTTGTAATAAAGCACCTTACAAACAAAGACCTATATTGTTACAAGCTTTGTCAGGTGGAACCAAAACATATCTTTCATGTAGTATTTCTAATTCCTTTTACCATATCCCTTTCGGTGTACTGAAAACGGAAGGATAGATAGATCGCATTTTGCCCTTTAATTTTCCAATGCGATTATTTAAAATATATCTAAAACGCTTGATCCATTCTGACAGAGTGTCAAGATCTTCCTCTTCATATTTAGCCTATCGTCTAGCATAATCCTTGACGAAATTTATAATAGAAATGAAGTTCTGAGACCATTTGAAAGAATTTCAGGCCTTTTAAAATGACATGTTTAGGTTATCATTTTGAACTATACCTACATCACCACTGTCCAGTAATGATCTGAACTGTAGACAGAAGAACATCCGTAGGAAATACAAGGTGTATGCTTCAACTTGAAATAGACTGAACATTTTGTATGATAAAGAATGTTGCTAATGTTTACAGCGTCTATACCTTGGTTTACTTAGCAAATTAAGCTTTATAGATATTGACGGATTGATTCAAAATTATCTTCTGTAACATGTGGCGGTTTCAAATGCCTGTAAGTCCACAATCACAAACACGAGTCAGTGGTTTAAAGAGCCTGTACGTCCATAATTACAAACACCAGTCTGTGGTTTAAAGAGTCTGTACGTCCATAATCACAAACACTAGTATATTTTCTGGTATTGAAGGATCTAAATATAGACTTGTTTTAGCTCGAATAATCCGTATAAAAGTTTCAAGGGCATGTGATATCACAAAAAATTGAATTAGACGTGTCCAACAGTTTGTACATAATAGATAAATAAACTTACAACATAGAAATATATATTGCCAAATTATTGTCTTTACACATTTTAAATATAAGAGCAATCAATTAAATCTGCCAGAATGCTGAATATAAGAATGTACAATAGAAAAGAGATATTCATTTTCAGCAATACTGAGAGAGAGAGGGGGGGAGAGAGAGAGGGAGAGAGAGAGATTTTTAAAAATCACAATTCCAATTAATCCCAATTACAAATAACAACAGATGCACGGTATTGAAAAACCATTTGTTTGCATAGCAACTAAGTTAATTACCGGTACATCCCTTATGATTTATCTGTATATTTTGAACACTTTAATATACTTTAAGACAGAAGATTAGGGGAAAATATTATTTAATCATTATAATAGGTTTGAAAAAAAGCGACCAGTTCAAAAATAAACAGGAACTATAAGATTACGTCATTTGCAAACTCAATGGTCGACATAAAACAAGGAACAACTGAAAACGATTTTATAACCTATGGTATGTCAACCTCTTAACAAATACATGGCTTTTTGTATCTTCAAAAATATAGATGCTTATAATATTTTCTTTCTAACGCGTGGTGATTTACTCAGTTAGGAACCCTCTATACACTGAACACTTAAAAGTTCTGATTCTGTAGTATTTGTACATGTATACAATTAATCTGCCCTTGGATATTAAATGAAATGAATTAAAATCTACTTGTAACACTCAATTTCTAATCAATCCAAGCATTCTTAACTTTTTAATAGGTCAAGATAAATTAATTGAACACTTTATTTGCAAATATCCCCCTCACTTAACTAAACAACGGTGATTTTTGATCAGCAATTCTTTATTGTCTTTGAACATTTTTAATTCTATGGACGTGGTCGCTAATTTGTTAGCAAATATAACCTATAATTAGGTCGTATTTTGGCTGACATGGTTCATACTATCTATTAGGCCTTTGTTTTCATACTGAATTTGACTATGGAATGTTCCGTCTACCTGATCAATACATAGGACTGGTGGTTGGTGTAACCGGTCAACAGCCCTACTCCTCCTAGGCACCTGACCCCAGATCTTGAAATATACTACGAAATTTTTAATTGCCTGTAAAATGTTTATCAATCATTGAATTAATCTCTAAATTTGTAGATAACAACACTTTTGTAAAGCAATATTGAAAAATATTTTCATTTAATACAACCTAAAAAATCTGACTTAAGCTTCATATGTTTCATGATCCCGGGGCCTGATCTCACCTCTGGAATTTCCGTGAGTCCGTGTTTAGGCAGTGTCCACAGATTTGTATTATTTGTAGATTTTATGAGATCAATCAATGTTCGTTATCCTCACCTTTTTGTTCTATTTTAAAAGGGAGAATGGATGCAATACAAGGAAAAGGTAACATGAGTAAAAAGAGTTTAAATGCTAAAGACATGCTGAAAAGTACAACTACAAATAAGGTTCAGCCATCCAATACTATGCAGGACTCTGACGAGGAATATATCAAAGACTCACAGAAACCAACAAACATCACCTTAAACAAGAAGGCACTCGGCGAACAGAATGAAATACTCATGCTACTCTCTCTCTCTCTCTCTCTCTCTCTCTCTCTCTCTCTCTCTCTCGTGTAAAGGCTTCCTGTAAAAATAAAATTAAGTAAAAAGAGATAGGTTTGATTTTATTCACACCCGAAAGGAACACAAGATCTGACAAGCAGTAAGCAGAGAAAAACCATAAAAGAAAATTCATTCAAAAGCTATAAAAGAAAAAAAAAATCTATTTATAGATGATGATAATTTATAGATAAATATTTTGAGTTTGTTTGAGAAACCAATTTTTCTCTCTATTGTAATATTTTTTTTTTTTTACAGAAAATTGACCATAGTGTTAAAAGATTAGATTGTCAGCAGTGGAACTTAAAGGCTCAAATCAAAATTATTCACAGAAATCAACAACATACTCTTGGACAGATTAAAAATATATTGAATCAGAAGACACGGTCTCTTCCAAAACAACATCTACCAAAGACAACCTTACCTGGTACAATTTTTTGCATTTAACAAAGAAAGAAAATAAATATAAATCAATGTACATGTGTACATGTAATTGTCTTGTTCGGGCTTGGAGCGAATTACTTTGTAAAGTAATGCATTACATTACCATTACTCCTAGAAATTGAGCTTTAAATTACCATAATTACCATTACCGGTACTCTTATTTCTTAAAGTAATGCATTACATTACCATTACTTTCTTAAATAATGCATTACCATTACGAGTACTTTTTTGGGTTTTCAAAACTAGAAATACAAAATTTGTGGAACTCTTTTCATAAGCACCTATCTCTTCAAAACTTAACGTGGTGTATTTTATCTTCAATTGATATAAATTCGATTATCTAGTACTTGTTTTTATTACACTGTGAATAACTTAACATCTTTTGTTTACTCAGAAAGGGAAAATTCTCAATAACCAACAAGATAAATGTACAAAATGCACTTTCTGTGTAACCAGATTATATTCGAGGAAGAAAATCAAAGAATGCACACTGTCCTATTATGAGAAAAATTCACAAGCTCGAAAAAAATCTGTTGCAAAAATTGCTTAAAACTGCAAACATGTAAATGGCGGTGACAATATAGGTGTGAATTTTTTTATGCAAAAACAAAGATCCGATAGAATTACACCTCTCGCAAAACAACAACAAATCGATGTACAATAATTGTGTTACAATTTTTAGGGTCTTCTGTGGATGAGTGTATTCATAGTGAAGTACTGCAGGAAAATATTCGATTGTTAGTAAGAGACATGGATCTTTCGAATGGATTGATAACTGATGAAATTCTACAGACTGGATGTTTAACTGAGGATGAAGTCCACGAAATGAAGAATTTGAGTAAACAGGACCAAATAAGAAAATAAACACAGTTTTGGGGAGAAATAACAAAAGTAAATTTTTTAAATTTCTTGAAGTAATTTCAAAACAAGAATTCTACCCACATATTGAGAAGGTTCTGAAGGAATCGTACGAAAGAAAGTTAAAGGAAAACGAAAAGTATTATGATACTGAATGCATCCGCTGCTTTCTCGTTAAGAAGGTAGAAATCAAGCGGATTATGGATTTTCTTTGTGAGAACCAGTTCATTGGGCTGTCTGATGTCGAAGATGCTATAAAAGGTGACAGAACAAATACAGACAATTTTTGGCGACACGTTTTTCAGAAAATTTTTGATCCTATAAATGGGGAGAGTAAGTATTTAAAGAAGCTCTCCAAGACCATTATCCTGATATTGCAAGAAAAATTCATTGCCAGAATCATTTGAA